TAATATATATATATATATATATATATATATATATATATATATATATATATATATATATATATATAAACTTTATTTTAATCCTTGATGAGGTTCCGATCCTTAGATATGATTAATTAATGATGGACATGTCATTTTCGTTTATGATCGATTTCATCACGATTCTTCTGTTAATCTTGGAGGGTAATTATCCATTCTTATTGCTCAAAGTAGAGTCCAATAGTGTTAGAAAAACCACCATCAAACATAATTTTCTGGTATGTTGACAAAACCCATACATCAAGTTAAAAAGCAAAGATCATCCTCGATAATGGCTAAAAGTATAGCCGAAAGTGCTCGGAATTACAGAACATTTGGACAATTTCTACACACTGTGTCGAGAAAAGAAAACACTTGTTCGAACACAAGAAAAAATATATAAAAAACTTAATCGCAGTACTTTGTATGTCGTCTTTAATGAAACAAGTATAAATGAGGGATTGCTGCCTAAATACATGCACACACACACAAACACACACAGTTTAGAATCCAGAGTAATCCTCCTTTTCCTAAACTGGATACTACCCAAAGCTACACTGCACTATTTTGCTATTTAACGTGGAACTTTTTTTTTGTTCCAGTTGTGGCCTTGTTAGCGCCAGAGATAAAGACACAAAGAGAGAAATTGAGTTAAACAAATATATTAACAGAAACAGTAATACAAACATATGCAAACGAGAGAAAGAATGTTCGGTCCGACTGTCAAAGCTGACTACTAGAAAATTGCCTCTTCAAAAGGCAGTACCTGCTCCTATTTATAGCTGGGAGAACCCATGCGTGTGTGGGTAAATTACCATAACAGTTCCGTATACCGATAGTTCGTAGATTATGATTTTTTTTCATTATTTACGAATTGCCATGATATCTTGGAAATTCTGGTGGAATGGAACAACAGATGATTTCTTCGTGATTTTGAATTTAGCGTCGTTCTTCTCAAAACTACTCTGCTATTTCAGCCTTCACCGAATAATGCCTTTTACAAGAGTAATCATCTTGAAAGCGAAGTCTGTGCCGCTAGTTTTAGTGATGGGAGATGAGATTTTTTTTCAAGTGTCGTTATCACCTAAAATGGCTACAATGCAAGTCTATAAAACACAGTCAATCCTGTTATTTAGATGAGACAAGAATATTTCTACCTTATTCAAGAGTCGTCATCTTCTATACTGGCTGCCATACAAGGCTGGGTATCACGACGTACGCTGCTATTTGGGGAAAGAAAGAACAGATGAATTCTTTACTTTTCCTAAGGTATTCATTCCTTAGATCGACATGATTACCCTAGTCCAAGACTTGAAAACACAGTTTACGTTGCTGTTTGAAAGCGGAGAGAATAGATGGTTACATGATTTTCGTCTAGTCATCATCTAAATTGATTCCCATCCAAGACTTGAAAGAATAATCCACGCTGCTTTTTCGCGGGAATGAGTAAGAAAAATGGGATTCGTGTCTTTTCTGAGGTTCATCATCTCCTAGACTGGTTGTCTATCAAGGCTAGAAAGCACAGAATCTTCTGCTCTTTAGTGGAGGTAAGAGTAGCTATCTCATTGACTTTCTGTCATGCAATACTAGAAAGCAATAATTACGCTGCCATCTAAGGGCTGGGATAAGTTCGAGCCTTTTGAAAAGGCAGCATAGCAAATGTCGGAGTTAAAGACTAAGCCGTAATATGAAGTTGGTTCAAAGATTACGCTTTCAGTGCCGATAACCTTTGCGTATCCTTGCTTCCATTCCGCAACCAAACCAATTCGTTTGTCATTACGCGACGCCCAAATCTGCTATTACACTCAGAAGAAAGGAAATGACACTTTATCAAATATGTGTTTCTGTGGGCCCGTGATTGAGTTACATAAAAATCCGTCCCTAATAGGGTTTTCATTTGAGGCAGGACGAACGTTAAGCCAGGGAAATGGCGGAGCCTATCCTTATAATAAATATTGACCCCACTCAATGATACTGAAATCTCTACAATCGACAAAATGTGCAGCATAACATTCTATCGGTGTTACTCCCTACATATTACGAATCATCCGCTGGAAGAAAAAAGTGCATATTAATTAAAATATGGCTTTCCTTCGTTTCTGAATGTGACCTACGCGTCAAAAAGAAACCGTGCTTCGTGAATTTAGATTTGATAGCCCTAAATATCTTACAAATGCTGAAATAATGTACACTGTTTGACGAAAGTTTTGGTGTTCACCTGCTATATTACAAAGTATCGTCTAAAAATTGATTGCACGTGAAGTTTATTCACATATACTCAGATGTTGGGAGGCGACCAAGATACGGGCAGGGAACTTGCCAAGTGAGACGTAATATAAAACCACTTAAACTGTGTTTATATAAGATTGATTGACTGACTTGTTTCTTTAACGGCTTACCAACACTTATCTCATTTAATACCAAAATTATTGTTAGTTATTCTGCATTCACAATTGAATACATGGTAGATGATACTCAGCTTTTGTGTATAGACATGTTTTTGTAGACATAATTACCAGAGGTGGAGATGTGTGTGTTTATGTTGTAATTTTGTTGTGATCTATTTGAGTGAACAATTGATCACCTTGTGATCTTAGCAGGATGTAAGGTGCCGTCTTTGAAATGTTATCCATGTAATATCAGGAGCACTTGGAATGATTGGGAAAGAAAATGAGAAACTTTGTTTTGTTTGCTTAACGGTATATCAACTCTATATGGCTAATGTCTTTATGGCTAATTAAATGCCGAAATTAATTTTTCCTGAGAGCTTTGAAGTAATAAAAATACAATATATGTTATTATGCTTTCACAATTGAATACATGGTAAATGATACACAGCTTTTGTTCATATACATGTTTGTGTAGACATAATTACTACAGGTGGAGATGCGTTTTGTGTTGTTTTGTTGAAATTATATTTTGGAATACAGTTTTACTTAAGAAATTTTAGGACATTATATGGCTTAATATCATGAAAGCTCTGCTGGTTGTTTGGTAGTATTTTTAAAATATTTTGCTACAAACCATCGTCGGAAAGGTGTTAAAAATGATGCATTGCAAACCTATTGGATACCATTAAATATGACGGCTTTTAAGATGAACGACACCGTTGAAGATGACGGAGACATTGACAATATAAAGAAAATTTTCATGACGTCTGCCTCTGATACCGACAGAAATTAAGCAAAATAAAAGTCATTAATATCCATGTTAATTATTCTTTTAGAACAAGTACTAGGATTACGATTTATTCACTGCTTGATTTTTTTGTTTAAAGATATATCAACTTCTTTATGGGTTAATGCCGAAATTTAATTTTCTTGAGAGCCTTGAAGTAATAAAAATATGATTTATGTTGTTCTGCTATCACATTTGAATACATGGCAAATGATACTCAGCTTTTGTGTATATACGTGTTTGTGTGGACATAATTACTAGAGGCGGTGATATGTGTGTTTATGCTGTAATTTTGTTGTGATCTATTTGAGGAAACAATTGATTACCTTGTGATCTTAGCAGAATGTAAGGTGTCGTCTTTGAAATGTTATCCATGTAATATTAGGAGCACTTGGAATGATTGGAAAAGAAAATGAAACTTTGTTTTGTTTGTTTAAAGGCATATCAACTTTATGGCTAATTAAATGCCGAAATTAAATTTTCTTGAGAGCTTTGAAGTAATAGAAATACAATATATGTTATTATGCTTTCACAATTGAATACATGGTAAATGATACACAGCTTTTGTGCATATACATGTTTGTGTAGGCATAATTACTTGAAGTGGAGAATATGTGTTTTGTTGAAACGATATTCTGGAATACAGCTTGTAGGATATTCTTTGGTCTGATGTCATGAAAGATTTTTTTTATGTTGAATTTGTTTAGCGGCATATCAAACTCCATGGATTATAAATTGCTGAAAAATAAATTTTTCGAACAATTTTATTTACAACTAAATCTCTGTGTCCAAATCGGTTAAAGGCACGTCAAGCTAAATGACGGTTCTGTATAGGATACAGGTTCGAATCCTGTCGGAGGACGAAATATCTTCTGTGAAAATTTCTCGGACATTCAGGCCGGTAAATGTTGTTTAAGACTGTTTATTATAAACAGACCATTTACTTAAATATTTGTATCTATAGAAAAGAATGTATAAAAGATAAATATATATATATATATATATATATATATATATATATATATATATATATAATTATTTATTTAAAAATATGATTCCAAATCGCGACATAAGAAGTCTCATGTTTCAAAACAAGAGCCGAAATCTTCAATATAATTATTTAAATTAAATTGAGTTAAAGTAAGCTCTGTTCCATCTTCAAGCGAAATTTTTTTTGAATCATATTTTTAAATAAATAATTATATTTATGCTCTACTTTTGTATCGAGCACTATTTTTTAAAAAAAATAATAACTAAAATACTAAGGGACTTTGGATTATTTACCTAACCAGTTCCTTCCTATTTCCTATATATTTTCACACACACACACACACACACACACACACACACACACACACATATATATATATATATATATATATATATATATATATATAATCGACTCTCCCCGTCGCGTTCGACGTATGAGGGTCAGGCCGATAAGTCCCCAGGAAACCGACATCCCGACACCGGCACATGAGATTTGATTATAGTGGTGAAGGCCTCGTGCAGGACCAGCCCACACTTTTTGGAGGGACGAATACAGAAACCTGGTGCACCGAATGCATGCCACAAGGTTCCCAAACGACCCTCCGCAGGTTTTGAATTCAGAGTTGTCCTTCTCCTAGACCAGTTGCCATCCAAGGCTATAGAACCCAGTCTGTCCTGCTATTTTACCCATAGCTGGAGGGAGATGAAGAGGATACATACCTTTCCCAAGGGTATTACATTACATATATATATATATATATATTAATTGGTACATCTACGCGTACCTACGTTATATGTACTAATTAATACATATCTATGTATTAATAACGCGTATATGTACTAATTAACACATATCTTTGCTATGTATAACCGCATTGAACACTAATACGTTTACACCTCATGCATAATTATTATTTGCTTGCCTGCACCAGCACACACCTGCTTATATTATACTCTTTGGGTCTTGTCACTGGACACATGGCCCAGTGGATAAAGGCGTTGGTTAGATCCAGTGACAAGACTCAAAGTATGTGAGTTCAATACCCGGTTAAGGCAGTGGAGAACTTGGAGATGGGAATTAACAGGAAATAACTGGTAACTGACTTCCATTAAACATGGCACGTGGAACTACAACAGTCTACCCCAGTGAGCGAAATAAAGGGTTCAGTTCGACATTCCAACTACCTGAAGAAGACCGGAGCGTACAACAGCCGAAACGTTGTAATAAATATGGCTATTGTCCTTATTTTTATAAATAAGGACAATAGCCCGAATAATGTAAATAGTGTATATGGATTAATGTCATGAAAGTTGGTTGATTGTGTTTGGCGGCATATCAACAGCTCTATGGGTTATTAAATATCGAAATCTAAATATTTTGTAGATAATTTTTTTTTTACTTTCACTGTAAAGGTATGTGTTTTAGATATATAGTTTGTAGATGATGAAATCTTTAAGAGAATGGCTGCGGAAAATTGCGTTTGAGACGCAGGAAAAGATCGGTGACAAATCTTGAACATATAATGAGAAAAGAGTGCATGGGAAAGTGAAGAACCACGGTGTATATTGATGGCAAGAGGGACAGGGGAAGGCAAGAGTCACCTGACGAGCTTGGGTGGAGATGGCGGAACTAGGGTAGGAGTTTTAGCAAAGCGAAAAATATAGAGAATCTAAAAGCAACACGTGATAGAAAGGTGTATATATCCATGAAGAAGAAAAAGAAGAAGAAAAAGAAGAAGAAGGAAAAAGAAGAAAACGAAAAAGAAGATGAAGAAGTAAAAGAAAAAGAAGATGAAGAAGAACAAAACGGAAAAGAAGAAGAAGAAAAAGAAGAAGAGGACGAAGAATAAAAAAGTAGAAGAAAAAGAAGAAGAAAAGAAAAAGGAGAAAAAGAAGATGAAGAATTAAAAGAAAAAGAAGATGAAGAAGAACAAAAAGGAAAAGAAGAAAAAGAAAAAGAAAGAGAAAAAAGAAGAAGAAGAGGAAGAAGAAGAAAAAAGAAGAAGAAGAAAAAGAAGAAAAGAAGAAGAAGAAAAAGATGAAGAATTAAAAGAAAAAGACGATGAAGAAGAACAAAAAAGAAAAAGAAGAAGAAGAAAAAGAAGACGAGGAAGACGAAGAAAAAGAAGAAGTAGAAGGAGGAGGAGGAACAGGAGGAGGAGGATAATAATAATAAAGTAAGTTTGATGTTAGCCGTTTCCTTAGAAGGTAATATTCGGCATTTATTGGTCGTGCGGCCAGGTGCAACTTATGCTTCAAATTTAAAAAAAAAATCTTTCTCTTAAATCCGCTAACAGTTATCAATCTTTAGACTACTGATGAGGGCTTGCAGCCTCTTTTTTTTTGTATTAACTAGCGTGGAAAGTCAGATATCACAGTTCTAGCATGTATCCTTCATAGTCAGCCTCACCTTCGTACGTGAAGAGAAACATTGCAGTTATTAAGAAGAAGAGTTGAAATTAATGCATCCAAGATTTCACAAGTCTAGCATCACTCCTTCAGAATCAGCATATGAACTTTTCAGCCCTTTCTCGTACCTTGGAAGAAAAAAGGCAGTTATTAATAAGAAGGTTTAAAATTAATGCATGTAATATTCCACAGTTCTAGCATAACTCACTCAGTGTCAGCCTATGAACATTTCAGCCCTCTCTCGTACCTGGAAGGAGACGATGCCGTTATTACACAGCTCTAGTATCTCGCCTTAATAGTCAGCCTATGATCTTTTCAGCCCATCCTCCAACCTGGGAAGAGACAATGCAGTTATTAATAAGAAGAGTTGAATTAATGGGCGCAAAATTATACATCTCTAGCAACAATCCTTCATAATCGGCCTATGAACTTTTCAGCCCAACCTCGTACCTGGAAAGAAACAACGCAGTTATTAATAAGAAGGGTCGAAATTAATGCATCCAAGATTTCACAGGTGTAGCATCACTCCTTCAGAATGAACTTTTCAGCCGGGCCTCGTAACTGGGAAAAAAAAACAAAACAATGCAGTTATTAATAAGAAGAGTTGAAATTAATGCATGCAAGATTTCACCCCACTATTATTAAGTCCTTTATAGTCAGCCTATGAACTTTTCAGTGCCCCCCCCCACTCGTAGATATTTGTGAACATGTTTTGGTGCTATGCATGACATTCACATGAAAGATTCAATGAAGGAGTAAAGCAAAATAAAAAGAAGGAAAAATTGAACGGAAATTAAAAGAATTAAAAGAAAAAAAAATGAAAAAGAAAAGGAAAAAAACAAAACAAGGAAAAAGATAAGGAAAGAAAGAAGGAAAAATAGAAAACAAAAGGCAATTGACAAACATTCCAATCTCTTGCGAAATATGTCGGTTTGTTACCGTTGAATATTAAGCGACTCGTTTTATGGACATGGATTATTTGAGGTTTTATTCTCATATTCATTCAATTATTCATTCATTCATTCCATTTCTAACATTAAATTTCTTACGCGCTGCCATTCGACGACTTGACCATTTGCAAAGAATTGTTATATTCACCCGATTCATTTTTCATTTTTGCTTTTTCAACATGTCTAGGATTTTTATGGATACTTTTGTCTGTTTACGGATTCCGACATTTTAATCCTGCTTATGTTATGCTTACAGACCTTCCCACATCTCTTATTTTATTTTTCTTTCTTTCGGTTTTTCTTTTTTGTTTTTGTTTTTCTTTCTTTCTTTCTTTTTTGTCACAACTTTTTTTTTCTTTAGCTGTTCTTTGTTCAATCGTTTTTCTTAATCATTTTTATTTCTACATTGGCATTTCTTACATCTATTTTTAATCCTTTTCTTATTCCAACCTTAAACTTCTTTCTTTCTTTCTTTTTTTCTTTCTTTCTTTCTTTCTTTGTCGTTATTTTTTCTTCATTACTAGGCATTTTAGTAGTCTTACTTTCTTTCTTAACAGTATATTCTTTCCTTTTTAGTCATAATTCATCAGCCATTTTACTTTCCTTCTATGCTATTTCTTATTTGGCATCTCTATACTTTCTAGTAATTTCTCTCTTACTCGTCTTTAAAAATTTTCTTCTGTTTCTTGCATTATCTTTTTTTTTATTTGTACATTCATATTTCCTCTTCTTTTTTTCTTAGCTTTATCTTCTTCATACTTTCTCTCTTTCTTTCTATTCTTAGTCATCTGTCATCTTCATCCATTTTTATTAACATTTTCGTCTTTATTTCCTTTTTTACTACACATGCTTTTCTTTCTTTCTTTTTTCTTTTTCTTTCTTTCTTTTTTTCTTTCTTTCTTTCTTTCTTCTGATTCACTCCCGTTCATTCATTTATTTTCTTTCTTTCTTTATTTCTTTATCTATCTTGTGTCACTCCTGTTCTTTCTTTCTTTCTTTCTTTCTTTCTTTCTTTCTTTCTTTCTTTCTTTCTTCTCTCGTTCATTCATTTATTTTCTTTCTTTCTTTATTTCTTTATCTATCTTGTGTCACTCCTGTTCTTTCTTTCTTTCTTTCTTTCTTTCTTTCTTTCTTTCTTTCTTTCTTTCTTTTTCTTTTGATTCTTTCCGTTCATTCATTTTTTTTTCTTTCTTTCTTTATTTCTTTTATCTATCTTGTGTCCTCCTCTTTCTTTCTTTCTTTCTTTCTTTCTTTTTCTTTCTTTCTTTCTTTCTTTTTTCTTTCTTCTGATTCCTCCTGTTCATTCATTTTATTTTCTTTTTCTTTCTTTATTTCTTTATCTATCTTGTCCTCCTGTTCTTTCTTTCTTTCTTTCTTTCTTTCTTTCTTTCTTTCTTTCTTTCTTTCTTTCTTTCTTTCTTTCTTTTGATTCCTCCCGTTCATTTCATTTATTTTCTTTCTTTCTTTATTTCTTTATCTATCTTGTGTCACTCCTGTTCTTTCTTTTCTTTCTTTCTTTCTTTCTTTCTTTCTTTCTTTCTTTCTTTCTTTTCTTTCTTCTGATTCACTCCTGTTCATTCATTTATTTTCTTTCTTTCTTTATTTCTTTATCTATCTTGTGTCACTCCTGTTCTTTCTTTCTTTCTTTCTTTCTTTCTTTCTTTCTTTCTTTCTTTCTTTCTTCTTTTTTTCATTTATTTTCTTTCTTCTTTTTATTTCTTTTCTATCTTGTGTCTTTCCTGTTCTTTCTTTCTTTCTTTCTTTCTTTCTTTCTTTTCCTTTTCTTTTCTTCACTCCGTTCATTCATTTTATTTTCTTTTTCTTTATTTCTTTATCTATCTTGTGTCACTCCTGTTCTTTCTTTCTTTCTTTCTTTCTTTCTTTCTTTCTTTCTTTCTTTCTTTCTTCTGATTCACTCCCGTTCATTCATTTATTTTCTTTCTTTCTTTATTTCTTTATCTATCTTGTGTCACTCCTGTTCTTTCTTTCTTTCTTTCTTTCTTTCTTTCTTTCTTTCTTTCTTTCTTTCTTTCTTTCTTTCTTCTGATTCCTCCCGTTCATTCATTTATTTTTTCTTTCTTTCTTTATTTCTTTATCTATCTTGTGTCCTCCTATTTTTTTCTTTCTTTCTTTCTTTCTTTCTTTCTTTTTTCTTTCTTTTTCTTTCTTTCTTCTGATTCACTCCCGTTCATTCATTTATTTTTCTTTCTTTCTTTATTTCTTTATCTATCTTGTGTCCTCCTGTTCTTTCTTTTTTCTTTTTTCTTTCTTTCTTTCTTTCTTTCTTTCTTTCTTTCTTTCTTCTGATTTTCTCCCGTTCATTCATTTATTTTCTTTCTTTCTTTCTTTCTTTTCTTTATCTATCTTGTGTCATTCATTCCTGTTCTTTTTCTTTCTTTCTTTCTTTTCTTTCTTTCTTTATTTCTTTCTTTCTTTCTTTCTTTCTTTCTGATTCACTCCCGTTCATTCATTTATTTTTCTTTCTTTCTTTATTTCTTTATCTATCTTGTGTCCTCCTGTTCTTTCTTTTCTTTCTTTCTTTCTTTCTTTCTTTCTTTCTTTCTTTTTTCTTTCTTCTGATTCACTCCCGTTCATTCATTTATTTTTTTCTTTCTTTATTTTTCTTTATCTATCTTGTGTCCTCCTGTTCTTTCTTTCTTTCTTTCTTTCTTTTCTTTCTTTCTTTCTTTCTTTCTTTATTTTCTTTCTTTCTTTTCTGTTGATTCACTCCCGTTTTCATTTATTTTCTTTTCTTTCTTTCTTTCTTTATCTATCTTGTGTCATTTATTTTCCTGTTCTTTCTTTCTTTCTTTCTTTCTTTCTTTCTTTTCTTTTCTTTCTTTTCTTTCTTCTGATTCCTCCTGTTCATTCATTTATTTTCTTTCTTTCTTTCTTTCTTTATCTATCTTGTGTCCTCCTGTTCTTTTCTTTCTTTTTTCTTTTCTTTCTTTCTTTTTTCTTTCTTTTCTTTCTTTCTTTTCTTCTGATTCACTCCTGTTCATTCATTTATTTTCTTTCTTTCTTTATTTCTTTATCTATCTTGTGTCACTCCTGTTCTTTCTTTCTTTCTTTCTTTCTTTCTTTCTTTCTTTCTTTCTTTCTTTCTTCTGATTCACTCCCGTTCATTCATTTATTTTCTTTCTTTATTTATTTCTTTATCTATCTTGTGTCACTCCTGTTCTTTCTTTCTTTCTTTCTTTCTTTCTTTCTTTCTTTCTTTCTTTCTTTCTTTCTTTCTTCTGATTCACTCCCGTTCATTCATTTATTTTCTTTCTTTATTTATTTCTTTATCTATCTTGTGTCACTCCTGTTCTTTCTTTCTTTCTTTCTTTCTTTCTTTCTTTTCTTTCTTTCTTTCTTTTCTTTCTTTTCTTTTCTTTCTTCTGATTCACTCCCGTTCATTCATTTATTTTCTTTCTTTCTTTATTTCTTTATCTATCTTGTGTCCTCCATTTCTTTATTTTCTTTTCTTTTTTCTTTCTTTTCTTTCTTTCTTTCTTTTCTTTCTTTTTTCTTTCTTTTCTTTCTTTCTGATTCCTCCCTGTTCATTCATTTTATTTTTTCTTTCTTTCTTTATTTCTTTATCTATCTTGTGTCCTCCTGTTCTTTCTTTCTTTCTTTCTTTCTTTCTTTCTTTCTTTCTTTCTTTCTTTCTTTCTTTCATTTTTTTTCTTTTCTTTCTTTGATTCACTCTGTTCATTCATTTATTTTCTTTCTTTCTTTATTTCTTTATCTATCTTTTGTCCTCCTGTTCTTTCTTTCTTTCTTTTCTTTCTTTCTTTCTTTTTTCTTTCTTTCTTTCTTTTTTCTTCTTGATTTCACTCCCGTTCATTCATTTATTTTTCTTTCTTTTCTTTATTTCTTTATCTATCTTGTGTCACTCCTGTTCTTTCTTTCTTTCTTTCTTTCTTTCTTTCTTTCTTTCTTTTTTTTTCTTTCTTTCTTTCTTCTTTGATTCACTCTTGTTCATTCATTTATTTTCTTTTCTTTTCTTTTTTCTTTATCTTCTTGTGTCACTCCTGTTCTTTCTTTTCTTTCTTTCTTTCTTTCTTTCTTTCTTTTCTTTTTTCTTTCTTTTTTCTTCTGATTCCTCCCGTTCATTCATTTATTTTCTTTCTTTCTTTTTTTCTTTTTATCTATCTTGTGTCACTCCTGTTCTTTCTTTCTTTCTTTCTTTCTTTTCTTTCTTTCTTTCTTTCTTTCTTTCTTCTGATTCCTCCCTGTTCATTCATTTTATTTTCTTTCTTTTATTTATTTCTTTATCTATCTTGTGTCTCCTCCTGTTCTTTCTTTCTTTCTTTTTTCTTTCTTTTTTTTCTTTCTTTCTTTCTTTTCTCTGATTCACTCCTGTTCATTCATTTATTTTTCTTTCTTTCTTTTTTATTTCTTTATCTATCTTGTGTCCTCCCTGTTCTTTCTTTATTTTCTTTCATTTCTTTCTTTTTCTTTCTTTCTTTTCTTTCTTTCTTCTGATTCACTCCTGTTCATTTCATTTATTTTCTTTCTTTCTTTTTTTCTTTATCTATCTTTGTGTTCATTCATTTTGTTTTTCTTTTTTTTTCTTTCTTTCTTTCTTTCTTTCTTTTTCTTTCTTTCTTTCTTTCTTCTTCTGATTCCTCCCGTTCATTTCATTTATTTTCTTTCTTTCTTTATTTCTTTATCTATCTTGTCCTCCTGTTCTTTCTTTTCTTTCTTTCTTTCTTTCTTTCTTTCTTTCTTTCTTTCTTTCTTTCTTTCTTTCTTCAATTCATTTCTTTCTTTCATTTCATTTTTTTTTCTTTCTTTCTTTTTTCTTTATCTATCTTGTGTCCATTCCCTTTTCTTTCTTTCTTTTTCTTTTCTTTCTTTCTTTCTTTCTTTTCTTTCTTTCTTTCTTTCTTTTCTTCTGATTCACTCCGTTCATTCATTTATTTTCTTTCTTTATTTTTTTTCTTTATCTATCTTGTGTCCTCCTGTTCTTTTTTCTTTCTTTCTTTCTTTCTTTCTTTCTTTCTTTCTTTCTTTCTTTTCTTTTGATTCACTCCCGTTCATTCATTTATTTTCTTTCTTTCTTTTTTTCTTTATCTATCTTGTGTCCTCCTTCTTCGTTCTTTCTTTCTTTCTTTCTTCCTTCTCCTCCTGTTCTTTCTTTTTCTTTTTCTTTCTTTCTTTCTTTCTTTCTTTCTTTTTTCTTGTTCATTCCTGTTTTCTTTCAATTTCTTTCTTTTCTTTCTTTCTTTCTTTTCATTTTTAATTCTTTCTTTTCTTTATTTCTTCACTCCTGTTCATTCATTTTATTTTCTTTCTTTCTTTTTCTTTATCAATCTTGTGTCCTCCTCTTTCTTTCTTTCTTTCTTTCTTTCTTTCTTTCTTTCTTTCTTTCTTTCTTCTGATTCACTCCCGTTCATTCATTTATTTTCTTTCTTTCTTTATTTCTTTATCTATCTTGTGTCACTCCTGTTCTTTCTTTCTTTCTTTCTTTCTTTCTTTCTTTCTTCTTTTCTTTCTTTCTTCTGATTCCTCCTGTTCATTCATTTATTTTCTTTCTTTCTTTTATTTCTTTATCTATCTTGTGTCCTCCTGTTCTTTCTTTCTTTCTTTCTTTCTTTCTTTCTTTCTTTCTTTCTTTCTTTCTTCTGATTCACTCCCGTTCATTCATTTATTTTCTTTCTTTATTTATTTCTTTATCTATCTTGTGTCACTCCTGTTCTTTCTTTCTTTCTTTCTTTCTTTCTTTCTTTCTTTCTTTCTTTCTTTCTTCTGATTCACTCCCGTTCATTCATTTATTTTCTTTCTTTTTTATTCTTTATCTATCTTGTGTCTGTTCCTGTTCTTTCTTTCTTTCTTTCTTTTTTTTTTCTTTCTTTCTTTTCTTTTTTTCTTTCTTTCTTTCTGAGTATTCCTCCCGTTCATTCATTTCTTTTTTCTTTCTTTC